TCAGCTGAGCTTCTCAGAGAAGATACCCAGAGAAGCTTCTCAGAGAGGCCTCCCACATTTACTGGCTAGGAATCCTACACGTTGGGATCAGTCCGATGCCAGAGGCTAGAATCCGCTCAAGGTGGTTCGTGAACGAGCCGATGTGGTCGGGATCGGCCCCAAGCCCCTCCCTGAGACCTCACGGAGGACTCTGGAGAAGGAGGAGGAGGAGGAGGAGGAGGAGGAGGAGGAGGAGGAGGAGGAGGAGTTGGTGGAGGAGGAGCAGGAGGAGGAAGAAGGAGCAGAAGAGGAGGAGGGAGGAGGCGCAGAAGAGGGGGAGGAGGAGGAGGAGGAGGAGGAGGAGGAGGAGGAGGCGGAGGAGTAGGCGGAGGAGGAGCAGGAGGAGGAGGAGGAGGAGGAGGAGCAGGAGGAGCAGGAGGAGGAGGAGGAGCAGGAGGAGCAGGAGGAGGCCCCAGGGTGACCTCTGCAGGTCTCCCGAGAGACCTCCAGCAGGCCCGCGCCGTCGCGGCGCGACAAAAGCGACTCTGGAGCGAGGGCGCCCGAGGCCGAGCGCGCCCTCGCGGGCCGCGGGGCCCGCCGCGGGCCCCCCGGGGCCCATCGAAGGCGGTCCGCGGTCCGAAATCTGCGGAGGACGCGGTCGGGAGCCTATGCGGTTCGAGATTTGATGGTGCACCGCGGCGTCGGACGTGCGGGCCCACGTCGTCGTCATGGATTATAGGAGGCTGCCGCACCCGAGGCGAGGAGGGGCTCCAGCGCCACCGGAGGCTCTGCCGGCGCATCGAGGTCCAGTGCTACAGAGCCCAAGTCGACTGCAAAGGCATGCGCTGTAGCTTTTCATGGCACTGAGTCCAGTACGGAGTCAAGCACTCCCTAGTAATCCCCGGTGCTGATCCTCCACCGTAACACCCTCATTGCTCCTCCGTCCTCCTCGCGCTCTCTTCTTCCTCTTCGTGCTCCTCCTCCTCCTCCTCCTCCTCATCCTTCTCCTATTCTCGTTTCTCGTCACCCTGCTCCCTCGGCTCGGTGGGGGCCAAGGTAGGTTTTCCACTAGGGGCCTGTGGTGAAGGGGCGGCGTCCACAGGACATTCCTCCTGTGTGTCGGATTCCCCCTGCACGGTGCTCATTATTGATTCCACTTGCCGGGTGCCCATGGTTTTTCAATCCAAGGACCCAGCTTTGTATCGGGGAAAGTATTTACGGCTCAAGTTGCACACTTGGCCCCTAGACTACAGTAACAACATCGGTTCCCGCTTGTAGATTTCCCCGCAATTTGCACAGGAACCGCGCTCTCAGCTTCAGACTGTCTTGCGAGCTCCTCAGAATCGCGCTCTCACCTGGGACTTCCTCAGGATACATTTAAGATCAATCGCGCTTTCGCCCCTCAGGAATCATGCTCTCGGCTGGGACTTCGTCACAATTGGTTCAGAAATCGCGATCGTAGGACTCGCGCTCTCACCCGAGAAACCTTACGAGTTTCTCAGGAACCGCGCTTCAATGCCCCGCCCTCCTGGCCCGCCCGTTGGGGTCCACCCATGCGCCCCGCCCGCCCGTTGGGGCCCGCCCGCCCGACCCGACCGTCAGATTCCGCCCGCCCAACTCGCCTGTTTCGGATGTTGATCGAGTTCCTACCCTGACACGTCGATCAGCGAGTTGGCCGTTTTCGGTTCGCGAGAGGGCGTCGCGGCCATCATTTTTGCGGGTCCAGGTCCGTTGGTTTCGGTCCTAGGCCGTTTTCACTAAAGGGTGGTTTGCTAAAGGGAGATCAGTCCACTGCCGATTGTCAGAATCCGCCCGCCGGAACCTCCAGTTAGGGTTCGCCCGCCTAGCCCACCATCTCCTACCCTGTCGGACTTTGCCCAATAGCTGGCACGGAAGTCGTCTTCCCCCCTAAGGGGGGGATATATTCATGGACGAAGAGGGCGGGAGTCAAGTGGTGCAGACATGTTGAAACACAAATGAACAAAACGAGCGGATCGACTCGCATGGTGAGGAGGAGGACGAGGACGAGGACGATGAGGAGGAGGAGGAGGACGAGGACGAGGAGGAGGAGGAGGACGAGGACGAGGACGAGGACGAGTTGATGCTGGTGAGGACGAGGACGAGGACGACGAGGACGCTGCAGGGGAGAGGCGTCGGGAGGAGCAGCAGAAGAAGAGCCCGATGAGAGGGATGAGGGTTAGGTTTTTTTTGGAAACAGCGGGCAGAAGGACGAGGAGGAGGAGGAGGAGGAGGAGGAGGAGGAGGAGGAGGAGGAGGAGGAGGACGATAAGTAGAGCTCGGGGCCGCCAGGGGCCGATGAGCCCCGGGGGGTGGGCGGGCTGGCGACTCTCGCTAAGCTTCCTCCTCCCCCCTTGCCCTTCCTCATTCGTCCTACCTCTCCATGCGTCTTCTCCGTCTTCTTGCCCTTCCGCCTTCGCCATTTTCCTACGTGTTATTCGTTCTTCCCTTGAGCGTCATGCCCCAAGCCCAATATTTATCCATCCATCCTCCTTTTTTTCTCCTTCCCCTTAATCTTCTTCTTCCCCCTCTTTATCCCCCTCCTTCTCATTTCTCCTCCGTGCTCCTTCTCTTCCTGTCCCTCCGCCTCCTGCCTTCGACCGCGCCTTGCTCGAGTTGTGCTTCTCCTCCTCTTCCTCCTCCTCCTTCTCCTCCTGCATCTCCTCCTTCTCCGCCTCCTCCTCCTCTTCCTCCTCCTCCTCCTTCTGCCCTTCCTCCTCATCCTCGTTCCTGGTAATTCCGGGTTCCCTCTTCTTCTGTCTTCTCTCTCCCCATGTCCCCCTCCTCCCTGCCTCGCCGCAGGCTGTCGAATACGCCACCCCGCTGCGTACCTTAGACTACGCTGCCCCGCAGGCCTTTTGTGCGGGCAGGAGAAGGAGGAGGAGGAGGAGGAGGAGGAGGAGGAGGAGGAGGAGGAGGAGGAGGAGGAGGAGGCACCAATAGTGGTACGCCACTTCGCCCTGAACGGGCGCAGGATGCTGCTCCAGCCATCAGGTGGCAGCTCCGCATCGCGATGCGGCGATGCGGAGATGACACGCGAGTCCGCTTCGGCTCCGCGCGAGGAGGAGGAGGGGGGGGAGGCGGAGGAGGACGAGGCGGATGATGACTGGGCGGCAAGGATGGTGTTGATGCTGTCGCTGCTGCTGGTGATGATGTTGATTCTGATGCTGGTGATAGTCATGCTGATGCGGATGCTGATGCTGATGATGATGGGACTGATGATGGCGATGATGTCGATTATGATCGTGATGATGGTGGTGGTGGTTGTGATGATGCTGCTGATGATACTGCTGATGATGATGAGCATGAGGATGAGGATGATGATGCTGTTCATGATGATGCTGATGATGCTGCTGGTGGTGATGATGACGATGATGCTGATGATGACTATGATGATGGTGATGGTGATGATGAGGAGGATGAATCCGTGGATGAGGAGTATGCGCATGATGATGGTTCTGTTGGTTATGGTGGTGATGCGGAAGGCCACGATGGTGAGGGTGATGACGACGATGATGGGGAGGATGCTGATGTGGAGGATGATGGTGATGATGACGAGGATGTTGATACATGTGTCGAATACTATTGTGCTGATGATGAGGATGATGACGACGACGATGAAGCTGATGATGGCGGCGATGGCTGTTGTGATGATTTTGTTGTTGATGGTGGTGAGTGTGATGATAGTGGTGGTGTTGGTGGCGATGATGGATATGGTGACGGTGACAGTGATCATACCCATGCTCCTAAAGCGGCTGATGATGACCATTACGATGACGATGTTGATGACGAGTGCGTATGATGACGAGGAGCTGGTGCAGGACGACGATTCTGTCGATGCTGACGAGGAGACAGAGCATGGGCAGGGGGAGGAGGCACGACCGAGGGGGGGGGGCGGGGAGGAGGAGGAGGAGGAGGAGGAGGAGGAGGCGGAGGAGGAGGAGGAGGAGGAGGGGTGAATGTGAGAAAGACGGAGGGAGGGAGGGAGGGAGGGAGGGAGGATGGGACAGAGGGATGTACTTAGAGATATACATATGCCATCCTACCTTACCACCCGCCCTTTCCGCTGTGCCGAACCGTTTTCCATCCGCCGGATCTTCTATGCTAGGGGACCTTGATCCGCAGGTGACCCTATCGTGCGCAATCCGGAAAGGGGGTCTGTGCATTGTAGGAGGACGGCTAGCGCATGCGCAGGAGGGATGAGCATCGAAGGAGGAGCACGCTGCGGAAAAGTGAGGAAGAGGACAAAGGACGAGGACGAGGAGCGCACGCCGCCGCCGCGGTTGAGCGGGGTCAGCGACAACGACGTCGACGACAGCGCCGCGACGGCGACGACGAGACGACGCACGACGGGGTGGCGCCCGGGCCCAGGTGCTCAGCTCTCAGGAGGGAAAAAACAAACAGGCACCATGAATCGTCGATTCCCCAGAAAATATCGGAAAATATGGGAAGTGTGGGGGGGGGGGAAAACAAAAACCCAGAACATACAGGAAAATAAGGGGAATCTGGTCATTTGCGTCTACTTATTTGTGTGTCCCAGTTCCCCTTCAAGCTCGCCCGCGCACTCCCGGGCCGCCGAGGCTGTGCACCGCGCGGGCCCCTCCGCCTGCGCAGAGCCCGCCGGCGGCATGCCATGCCGCCGCGGCCCGCCCAGCGGGCGGGCCGGGCCCCGCGAGCAGTCTCGTTCAGGTCGTGGCGGCCAGCCCTGCCGAGGGGCTCTCATCGTTGGGCCGAGCCCCGAAGCACGCCGCCTTCCCTGGCGGCCACCACTCCACACGCAGCGCAACACGAGGCGGGAATCTCAGCATGGGCCTCGGCGCTGTGGGGCTCACAGGGCCTCCTGGTTCCCACTTGGAGGGTCTGGTGGGCCTGCGGGATCCGAGACTGGGGAGTGCCCCCGCCCAGACAGGGGGAGGCCAGCCAAGCCTGGATCTCTTTGCGGCCTCCCGTCCCCGAGAGGCACTCCGTGCAGCACAGCCTCCAAGAGCTCCCTACACCTTCACCCATCTTGACGGTGTGTTCAGAGGCCAACATGGCCCTCTGGAGGCTTGGAGCAGGAGGAATGACGAGGAAGGAGCCGGGCCCAGAAATGCGGCCCGCGCTTGGGCCAGTACGCCATTTCTGTCTGAGCGACGGGAGCAGAGCTCCGATCTCGACGTGTGGGCGCCGCAGCAGCGTGCGCACCGTTTTTTGTGGCTGGGAGCGTTCCGATTCGGTCTCTCCGTCAAGAAGGGGAGGAGACGCGCTTCCCGTCGAACGTCCGCGGACTCTGTGCTGCAGCAGGTGCCTCAGCTGTTGTCGCTTGTGTTTCTCGAGCGGGGGCCGATGGTTCGGACGGCTCTGGCACATCACGGTGGGTCCCTGGGCAGCAAGCCCCTCCTCTCGGAGCCTTGCGCACCCCCTGTCGTACAGGACTAGATCTCGCTGCTGTCAGTTCTGTCGTTCGCCCCTGCCTTGATTGGCTGGGCCTTCTCCCAGCCGTCGAACTGGGCTGTCTCATGCAGCTGGAGTCCCCTGGCAGAAACAAGAGTCTTTGCAATCCAGAGTGTGAAACGCAATTTGCGAGGGAGGCGGGTGCGCCGCTGGACATGGTCAGGGGAGAGGTGATAATAGTGTCCACACTGAGAAATTGCTGAGTAGGTGTAGAGCGAGAGCGAGAGAGTGCGAGAGAAAGAGAGAGAGAGAGAGAGCGAGAGAGAGAGAGAGAGAGAGAGAACGCGAGACATCACACACACATATACGTATGTACATTATTATATACACATATGTATATACATATTTATGTATATACTCATATACATACATGTTTGCGCAAAATACATATGTAGAACTCAATAAGAGTACGCCCCCCCCCAGAGGTCCCACGCCTCCCCGTGACATCAGCGGAACGCTTTTGGTACCGCGCCGCCCGGCCTCCCGGGAAGCCCCCCAAACGCCCAAGGACAGCCCAAGACGACCCCCAAAAGCCCCCCGAACGTAAAAGAACAGCCCAAGACGCTCCCAAGCAACCCAAGATAGCCTTCGGACGGTTCTCCAGGTCCCCAGAAAGGCCTCCAAGAGACCTCAAGAGAGCTCCGAGAGGCCCCACGACAGCGCCCAGAGAACCTAAAGTCGCTCATTTCCATTTGTTTTTGTTTTAGGTTTTTGGCCTTCTCACCATTTCATATTTCCAACGCTCCAAGACGGCCGAAGAGGCCCCCAAGACCGCCCCAAGACCGCCCAAGAGGCCCCCTAAGACGGTCCCAAGACGGGCCAACAATGCCAAACAAATACGCCCCCCCCCCGGGGGGAGATAAGGTGTTACTGTGGCCCGTTGGTTGTTAGTGCGGCCGGGTGGGTGTTAGTATGGCCAGGGTTCTTCGGGAGGGTACTAATCAACGAGTACGGTGAAGGGGGGGGCGTCTCCGAAGAGCCACCTCACACCCCCCCTCTACCGAAGAGCCTCTCGGAAGAGCCTCTGGGGCTCTCCGAAGAGCCTCTGGGGCTATCCGAAGAGCCTCTTCGAGCCGCCGAAGAGCCTCTTGGAGCCGCCGAAGAACCTTTTGGAGCGGCCGAAGAGCCTCTTGGGCTGTCCGAAGTTTTGAGCCTACGTGTTGGGCCACGTTCCGTGTGGCGTGTTGCGTACCGGGGCAGCTAAGCCCAGGAGTCCACGAAAGCGTCCCCCAGAGGTCTCCACGGAGCCCTCCAGCCGCCTCCAAGGAGCCCTCCAGAGCCTCCCAGTCCTCCGCACTCCATCGCCCTCCTCGGCACTCCTTCGCACTTCACTCCATTCCTCCTCCCCCCTCTCCGCACTCCTCCCCACTCCTCTGTACCTTTCCGCACTTCACCGTGCCCCTCGGCATCCCTCCCCACTCCACGAAGCTCCCTCCATTTTGCTTTTCGGTGTTCCTCCCCACTCCTCTGGAGTCCTCCCCACTCCATGCACTACTCCCTCCACCTCCCCATTCTTGTCACTCCTCCTCCTGCCTCCTCCTCATTCCTCCCTCGCTCTCCCTCCACCCTCCTCCCTCTCTCCTCTCTCCGTCCCTCCCCATTCCATTGCACTTCTCGGTACTCCTCCAAGAGTCCTCCTTACTCCATCGCCTCCCTCCGTCTCCCCATTCCGTGGCACTCCTCGTCCTCCTTCTTTCCCTCTTCAATTCCTCCTCCTCCCTCCCTCCTTCCCCCTCTTTCCCTCCCTCCCTACTACTACCACTACTACTACTACCACTACTACTACAACTACTACTACTACTACTACTTCTACTACTACTACTACTACTACTGCTGCTACTACTACTACTACTTCTACTACTACTACTACTACTACTACTGCTGCTACTACTACTATACTACTACTACTACTACCACTACTACTACTACTACTACTACTACTACTACTAC